GACCATGTGCATGGTCGGCGAGAGTCCTAACCACTGTGCCACCGACGCACACACAAGTGTAGTTGGGAAAAAGACATTGTCATTATTGAAAAGTGAAAAGTAAACACATTTGACTGGATATTGTATCACAATTCAGCGTTTTAAATAATAGTTATGTCTGACGACTATTATACTCTAGATATGCAGTAAGGGATTTTTTGTGTTATGACAATTTAAAGAGACTGAAATTCGCTATCGTGGAGCGATGGTGGTCAGGCTGGAATATTGCAGTAACTGTCTGCGAGCTACAATGGATGGAACTAATGTTAAACTAAGAGCATTTAACATGATATTCTGTAAATCGATTACATTTTGTTCGAAGGGTATGAGGGCGAAATAGTACTTCTGGGACATAACAGTGTAACTGGAAGTAGTGTATTTTACTCGGATGAACAGAGAACCAGCAATGCAGCCGGTTCGGTTAGAGGGGGACAATTTCGTATATTAACTTGCTTCACGGTGGTTCGTAGCTCAAGGTCGGGCCTTCATTTGGACATTAATTGAAGAACTACACCAAACGGGTAGTGTGCAGTCGGCCTTCAGAAGTTGTCGTCTGGGCTTTGCGAACACACAATACCAATTCTCCTTCTGTTTGATTTCGTATGAGAATAATAACTAATAGTGTTACAGCTTTGCAGAGAAGTGACTAAAAGTGATGAGTTTGCTGATTTATGTGTTCCTAATTGATCAAGTTATTTCATATCATTCTTATTTTTAAACTCAAATATACTTAATATTATTCCCTTGGGTTCCTAGTGGAACATAGGGCTTCAACTGCACGCCTCCACTTGCTTCTGTCTTCTGCTGTACTTTTCACTTGCATCCATGTTATTCCATACTGTTTCAACTCCTCTTCACACGATCTCCTCCATGTCACCCACCCTTGGACGTCCTACTCGCCGCTTCCCTTTCGGGTTCCACACGAGCTATGGCCTGACGCGCGATGTCACCCAGCGGCCTCCTCAGTGAGTGTCCAATCCATCTCCACTTTCTCCTGCATATTTGTTGATCGATTGGTTCTTGTTTCGTTTATTTGTTCCCATAGTTTCTTGTTGGTGATTCTTTCCGGCCATCTGATCTTGAGTATAGAACGAAGACAGCTGTTGATAAAGGTCTGCAACAGGCTGTTGGAAATGTTCTTTGTGACCCGCCAAGTTTCTGATCCGTATAGAAGAACTGACTTGACTTAAATTAAATATACTTAAATTAAGTAAAATTAATCCTTAGAATGAATACTAAGTACAACTCATTTATCAAAGCATTGATTTTTGTTCTTAGAATTATAACAAGAATAATCATTTCATAAACCTACCGTTGAACAAACATTCACCTCAGTGATGAAAGGACTTTCGACGAATGAAATGGTTAAATATTGAATCATAGAGGCATTTAATTTCTTCCAGTTAATACTCTGAGGAAGTCGAGTAAGACTTCAAAACTGCTCCGAAGTGATTGACCGAATAATGAATCTGCTGTGAACGGTAAGCAATTTATGTGCGATGTGAGCAATGTCGAATCAAATCAGCTACATTCTGAAGCTTGCTTGTCATTTGGTTTTAAATTCCATATCACGCATAAAAGTGTTAGTCGAATCAATATGGGACGTCACATTGAATACCAACACCACTGAGAATCTGATCCCCAAAACAACTGACGAGTCACCAAGTCACCTAGGATAGCTAATCAAACTCTTAACCGCCAAAGTACACAATCCGAAATCCTCTCTGAAGAATAAAGTGGAGCACGTATATCTAAATTCACTTATCTAGGAAGCATAATTTCAACCACAGCCAGCGGAATGGATGAAGATGTCAAAGCCAGTCGGAATCGGAGAGGCAAGATACGCACGCCTTCATCAACCTGAAGCCCGTTTGGAAATCTTCTGCTGTCACTCAGGCAGCAGAAGGAAGAAGATTCCGATTTTCAACGCCAATGTCAAGTCAGTCAGTGAGTTCTCCTATACCGGTCAGAAACTTGCACTGCGTGTGACGAAAAGGATTCCCAACAGGTTGCAGACTCCCATCAACAGCTTTATTCATATGCTTCATACTGAAGATGAAATGACCAGATAATTGGTAACAAGGAACTCTGGCTACTATTATCTTGGCGACAACTTTGTTGATTTTTGAATGACTTAATTTTGTTTGTTTGCCTGTCTCTTTAATTACTTATAACTCTTGCTTTCATTTAGAACTCTTATGTGATTTTGTGTTCTCTACTTTGTTCCTATGTGTATCCTGAATATAACTCAATCATTAAACTATTGGTATTATTGCATAACGCCTTTTTAACAACTGCTTGTGACAGCTCATCGCCTTTGTTACTACACTAGTTTCATTAACACCCAATTTTCTTGACCGTTTTTGTATTGCGTAACTCTACCCAAAACTTACTAATTTTCACCTGTTTAGATAAAAAATAACCATAACCAATTGTATTTTTGTTTGACAAACTTAGTGTATACATGTAGACAAAATAACTCATAGATATTTGCGACTGTGAAGCTAAAGAGGAAAATGAATTCGGCACCGAAAAGAGACTCTTCGCTGAACTACGTGTTTTCTTTTCATTAATGCCTGGATGGAGATTATTCTTGAATTAAAACCAAAAATTGTCTATCATTGACTCCGGAATGCACTCAACACGAATGACAACCAAGGCAACAAACAAGGGCCTGACAAAAACTCTCAGCTAAAAAGGGACAATCAAGGGTAGACATCACCAGTTACCTAATTGCCTAAGTGAAGAACTTACAGTCCCTGTTTTCAAAGCAGAATATTGATTACAGATGGATGCACATATGAGCAGTAAGGAATAACTGTAATAGTTATTGAAATAGCCAATCCTTTTGGTAAATTTGAACAAAACTTGTTTGACTATTCCAGGAGACCTGAGCCTGTCATGTCTAAAATGAAAAAAATGGTACTCCAGACTAGCGCATTTTCGGCAGGTTAAACAATCGTTGATGAATAGCGGAATCCCGAGGGTCTCAACTTTCCACATACTCTAATGTCAATGGTGCATCACACTTCATTCATTTCCTAAACGCCTTGTAATTTATTCTCCTATCATTTTCGTCTTATTCTTCTCTGGTGTTCGGGTTCCTGAAATTTAGACTCCTCTAAGAGAATAGCTTTTACCATTTTGTCACTAGAATCTTCCCGATCTGTTGATTTGCAGTGTTCACCAAGTGGAGATAGCAGGAGTCCCAGAACTGTAGTAAGCGCCGCACTCGCATGTGAACAAGTACCTGATTTTTTTCCTTCACGTTCCCAGTGCAACATAGGGCCTCAAGCTAGTGGCTTGAAGTTTCTGTAGCAGTGTTTAATTTTCAGACGATGACGTTGTTAACCTCATGCTCAACCTTTCCTCTTTACCAGCATTATTTCTGGCTTAGCGAGGTAAAGGAGTGCGTCGGCCGGGGATCGGATCCCGGACCATGTGCATGGTCGGCGAGCGTCCTAAACTCTATGCCACCGACACTAGTACCTACCTGATTGGTTGAGTAAAAAACGTGGCTAAATGCATAAATAGTGAGGTTTTAGCCCACTTGTTGGATAATAGACAATAAACTAGACCGTAGCAGGCGTTCTCCGTGATCTGCTATGCCAGAGGCAATCTTTTAGACGACCTCAACTAAGTCATCCATCAGTAACTGAAACAGTAGTGATCAATACTAGAGAACCTGCTGTCTATATCTAGAAGCAATATGTCCAGCCGCTATATTTACCCTGAACTACAACAAGACCCTGAAATCCCTCATAAACATTATTAATTAACACTTTTAATCACTATCGTATTTAGGAGACAATGGAGGTGCATTAGGAGTACATTGAGGAAACAATCGAATTACATTTCAGAGCAGGCCGTTGAGTGGAATCTGAATAGTAAGTGATGATTGGATCGTCCTAGGGCGACATGTTGGATAATGTGTGGCGAGGAGAAGATGACGGATTATGGGCAATCTTGACCCAAGCTGAGGAAGACTGCAGAAGGTGGGACAAACGCAGATGTGTTGTTAAACCCCTGTGTTCTATTCGGAACTCAAGAGAATAATAATACCATAATAATGGTAATAATGCTGTTCTATATTCTCTGAGATGCCATCAGGCATTGTTGGTAATTTATTTGTCTTCGACTCAACTAAGTGATATTGTTGTTGATAGACATTTCCTTTCTAGCAAGCAATTCATTGGCTACAGTCATCCTCTTCAGTACTGAACATCCTCCTCTTTATTCACAATTTTCGCATGTATCTGTTTAGGTGAAAGCAAAAGAAATTTCATACGAATTAATGGTTGAACTGCTGCTGAATATACAAATTCCACTACACCATATTTAGCAGGGGTGTTTTGTGGAGAGGGACGAATTTCATAATGGCGATTATTGAAAGCTGTTTGAAAATGTGTGAATATGAAGCGAATTACTACCAGCATTTTATAATTGCACATGCATCACTGTTCCACTAACTACCTCATTTTGAGATTATTTTGATTCATTTTACCATTTCATGTATTTATTTATTGAAATACTTGTGAAAGGAGATAAGTTGATGCAATATGTAAACAGGCTGAAACGACATTCTGTGTGAATACCTATGGAGTGGAATAACGTGATTGTCATGATTATCACTCGACTCATTAAGCCATTTTATTAACTCCCTCATCATATCCCACATGACATGCGTTTTTCCACACACATCTCCTTCTGACCAGAGATGCATCAGTGTTAGCATCTAGAAGACCAGTGTGGTTGCATTACCCGAATGATTTCGAGGTCGTTTCACTGGTCAGTCTAACCAAGAAATTATGCTACACTTCAGCTTTGCCCACATGGATATCTCACTGCCTAGCTGGGTGACTGAAAATGGCAATTCAAACCCACTCACACCCCGCACCACTCCAAGCATTAATTTGAGAATATAATACTTCCACGTGTTCGAAAATATATATATTTATTTTGTGATAGTATTCCGAGGTGGTAGTGAGAAATACAATCAAAGGAAAGTGTAGAAACTTCAAACTCTCATCGGTTGGAGATCTAATTGCCTGTGGAGTGTCTTCTGTTTATACGTGGTGTTTTGGAGGGTCACCTCTCATTCCGAATGGTGCATATATCCACATCACTGTGAGAAATAAACTCCAACAATAACCGTAGATATTTCGAGCTGGTTTGACAATATTATCCTCTGGATAGTAGCGTGTGCCTTGTCCAAATAACCATTTCACTTCTTTTGCAAGTAACTGGTTTCAGTGACAGTGTGACAACGCCGATGAAAGGAAGAAAGAAGGAAAGTGAATAAAATGTGCTGATGACACAAACGACAGAATTTTGTTTAATGGAGAAATAGAGTGAGCTCCATCTAAAATCAGAAGGGAGATCTTTTTAACTTTCTCGGCTAAACGAAACAAGATTTGGGTCGAGTTTACAACTATTGTCAAGTCAGTCAATGGTTGAATATACGTGTCGTATAAATCATTTTTAGCCGGCTACTATCAACACTTTGTCATCAACAGCTCCCTTTGCTCGACAGTGAAAATTAGGTGACCTGTCAGAAAGGATAAGCAATAAGGATGTCTGGAGACGAACAAGCGAATATCTTGGTGACCGACAAAATTGTTGCAGGGTATGGAGATTGATGCTTTGCACATATACTGTGGAGACCATTGAGTGACATCTCTCACGAGTGAGGTCGTTGGTGGAATGGAATTCGAATGAGAAACATTGAGTTGGCGATGTGACCAACAGTGACTTGGAGGAGATATGCTACAACCCAACCAATTAATTTTTCGATTCATTGGAAACAAAATGTAGCCCTGAATGTTGATGATCCCACAGACAATGGTCACCTGAAGCGGTGACAATCAATGGTGTCCTTCAGGAATGGACACATTCCCTGTTCCTGTTTGATGTCAGCATAAATGCACTAGGGGAGTCGAAACCGACAAACTTTCGTAACTAAGCTTCAACCAGTTACTTGGTGGTGGTTGATGGATGATATCCGGTTCCATCATGAAGAGGCTGACAAAATGCAGTTTTATGAACACATTGAGCAGAAATTTTCGTAAACTCCTTGCTTGTTTAATCCCTATAAAATGTTAGATACTTTGTTAGGAGTAAACAAGTCGACCCATGGCTTAAAGATAAGAAGTGAAGTAGTTAGATGTGTTGACCAGCATTTCCTTTGTTTGTAGGACTGTCCCAGCTCTGATAGATTGACTCATAGCTGACGAAATGTCATCAGAGATTCAGAAGTCTCGAATGACATTTGCCAATTCACGCCATCTCTGCTGCTAATATTCTGTGTGGATATCGATCAAAAGAAGAGTGATCTAGACAGTGGTCCACTCTGACTTCCATTATCACTGTTAGTGTGACATGCACATTGAAGTTGGTGGATATGAAAAGGCCGGCTAACTGCGTTCTGTCTTCCTTGTTGAGTGGTATTGAATATGGTGATGAATAGTAAAGTCAGGAGTATAGTAAGGGTAGTCATTCGATGAGTTAGACATAACTAGGACAGGAGTTGGCCATGCTGAGTCACCACCTTCTCCGACGGGCAGTATTAGCTGACATTTGTTTTGTTTTGAAAAGTGTTCGGTGGAGTGGCTAAACGAAAATCTGGCATCAGTCGATTCAGTCTTTCAGAGCCAGCAGCTCATCTGCGAACAAAATTTAGGGATACCTGAACATGGTCCTCCATGAAAGACGTCTTCAAACTGATTGAAACTGATAAATTTCTGACTTGCCATCCCAGTTGTAGCTGCCTCTGACACCTCACGAATTCCTCCTGTAGTTGAAACGATGCTGTCTAGATGGCTGAAATAAGTGACCTCGTTCAGAATCATTTCCTTAATAGAAACTGATACTTCTTGTTGTTGGTTGACTACATGGTTTCATCACCTCTATCTTCTCTGTGCTCACTTGAAGCCAGATCATCAAGAGTAGTCTTACCAGTCCAACTTATTCCTGTCTTCTGGCTGTTCAAACACGTTCTACCACTCAACGCAGTTCGCTACAATCAGAAATGTCGTCAGTGATGGTGTGGTGAGAGCTGTCTACTAGCCAAATTGGTAGACAGTAATTTACGTCAATGTTTACGTTCTCAAAATATGTCGTGAGAACATATGAACAAAGACTGATTCAAAACTGACCACAGAAGACTATGCGTAGGCGGATACAGTTAACATGTAGATGATCTTACATTCAAGAGACAGCGACAAAGAGATGAAAGATTAACTTTAAGTGCGAAACAACCAATCAGAAGACTGTATTTGTTTGCTTAACTAATCTATAATAATGTACATGAAAATATATAAATATGCTTTGATTTCCTTAATAAACGATCTGTTGCCTGGCCCTTGTCTTCTGTTGTTACAATATTAGGTAAACTTATCTTCGCGGAGAATTTCGTTGTGGATCACTTGACATAGGCCATCATCGTCCTATAGCTGTTGAATGAGCTTGATAAAGGTTCGCGACACTATACTTCATAGTGTTGAAGCAATTTGCAAGTTACTTCACGGTCAACACAGTCGACGGTTTTTCCAGTGTTGATGAAGTTGAGGCAGAGATTTGACTGTCATCCTATTCCATGTTCAACGATGATGCGTAGAGTTCCAATTCGATCCGCACACCACTTAATATGTCACTTGGCGTGGATAAGGGCATGATTCCTCTCCAGTTTTTGCGGAAGCCTAAGTCGCCCTACTTTGATAGTTTGACATGACAACCTTTCTCCTCCAGTCATTAGCTACCTCACCTCCCTTACAAACCTCTTGTAACAATAATATCAGCATGTCCTCTGTGCTCTTGACTCGTGTATTCCTTGTTTTGCTTGTACATACTGCCTCAAATCAGAGAATTATGCAAAGCAGGGGATTACGAGAAGAGTTCTCCCTTCTCATTCGTTCCTCTGACAGCCAGTTGATTCGTGATGACTTCTCTTTGTGTACTGTCTGCTCTCAACATGCATATCGCCGATTAGGAATTCGGTGTCGCCATTCAGGATGTTGTCCATTACTGTTTGCAATTGTCTCTAGATACCCTCATTCTCCTCGTCCATATCCATTCCACCTGCTACTTAAGATTCCTACCACTTCTGTACCATATCTTCTCATTTCTTTGGCGACCTGGACATGTCGCCTGACAGCCATTTCGAAGGCATTCTTCAGCCCGCGTCATTCCGCCTATCTGACTTCAGCTGAGAATTAGTTTGTTTTTGTAATACTTTATGTGCTTTGAGGTTTTTTCACGGGATGGATTGATTTTCAGACAAGGGCTTACCCTCCCCACACTCAACGTCCCCTCTTTCATGGGCTCAGGGCTAGTTAGTAAATTAGTGGACTGGTAAATTCGTCGAATTTGTTTCGGTTTCATTTGTCTATGATAGGTCAAAACACCTCATTCGTGAAGATTCCAAACACATGTATTTAGGTGTCATCAGGTGCCTTTTACCTATTCGTTCTCCGACTGAAACACGGAGGATTCAGCTTATGCCATGGAGATTCAATATAGATGTTATTTCTCAACCACCTAAGGTTTCCAGCTCGATGTCCACCCAACCTTTGACCGTTTTCAGGCTTATTACCGACTGGTTGACCAGGTGATCTTCATCATTGCACTCATGGCCAGGAATCAAATCCGGACCACTAGAGTGTCGGCTGGTGAGTTTACCACTGAACACTTGATGCCAAAAATCATGAGTGACACACCAGATAACCATAGTCATTGCGTATACCATAGTCCACACCATAATGGAATAAAGTGTTTAGCAGTGTTGAAATTCGACTTACATAACATGTGCTTGGGAATCCAATAGCCCCAGCGATAAGTAGAGCAATCTGATGTGAAGAGAAAAGATGAGAAATAGAGAAAATCTTCATCATTATCACCAGTTGACGCAAATTAGAGAAAACCATTGAATACCATGGGAGCAATGGACACACAAATATCAATGTCCAGGTAATTGATGGTTTCTGGATGAATACCCGTAGCTGTATCGATGTGAAGCTTTGACCAGAGAGGTCTGCCGTGTGATGTGTAGCCTGGGTGTGCTCATGGAAGGGACTGGTTGATGGTGGCATATCGATATCACAGACTGGAAGAAGTCAGAAGTGGTGGTCTATTGAGTTCTGCCTCAGTGACTGAATGGCCGTGGAGCACACAGGAGGTCTAAGCAGCTGACCATTACTCCATGGTGATGGTTTTCGATAGTTTCGTAAGTGAAGGCACTTTGACATCAATTTCGAAATCAGTCGGATGTCTGTGAACACGAACCATCGAAAATAAAATTAACACTACATTGTAGCGGTATTTGGAAAATTTCACAATGTGGGGAAATACACCTCCAACTCACCTTAGCCTGCTTTCGCACAAAGAAGGCGATTTGACCACCCAATATCGTCACAGTATACACAACGTTGATTATTCGTGTTAACCATGTCTGAGTGAAATCATTCGGAATGAATATTGCGAACGAGACAACGACTTGTAACATCACCCATATGAATGCGAATACAATCATTGGGACATCATCATAATAGGCTAATGATTCTGCGGCGATGATGATAGAGGAGAGAATTGTCTGTTGATGAGAAGCAAATGAAAAACAGCAGAGAGAAGTGACAACGTAGTTTAGTGAAGATAATTTACAACTAGTTAGTGAAATCACTTTTAATGTTTTATGTCTTGTCAAGTGAACGCTAATGTTGATCTCGAGTCAGGAACGAATATCAGTGAAGTATCATTGAAAAGTTGTTCTGCATTACTGGGAAGCTGTTTCGTCTCAGTATTTTGGTTACAACACATCAGTAATGCGCACCCGAGACCCCAGCGCTGGTAATCGAGTCAACTAGGATCTTTAGGATGCGACAATTTGCCCGTTGACTTCATACGAAATCTACATTGAAATCAATTGAAGCCCATTTAAGACAACTCGGAATGTATGTATCTATCTTCAGCTCATTTGCAGCAACTGGATGGAAGTCGTTATGCTGTGCTGAGAAGCGGTGACCAACGACATCCACGTTGCAAATATTAGGTTGATACTTACCGATGGTTGTGTTTACCGATTGTAGCACTATTTCACGAGTTGACAGTAGTTAGAATTCATGGGTCATTGAAATCTGGCTCAGGTGGCTGGATGGTCAATGAGTTTGGTGTGTCTACGCGGCTGAGTGGTGAGTGTGTAGTACCGACCATGCCAGCAGGTGATTGAGGTTTGATTCCAGACTACTTATGTGAACTTGCATTGACGATAGAATACACCGAAGTAAACAGAGAGAATTTTGGCTGTGTGTGACACAACAATCCTCAAAATCATGAACAAATACAACACCAACACTACCGAAAATTCAGTTCATTTCACGCTTTGAGACTCTCTCAATATTTCAGGGACAAAAGCAACGGAATGCAGTCACAAGCACAATAATGATGCAGTAGAACGGCGTTGAGTGATAGGTCTTTGCAAATCACTGTCAACATTAAACTACTTGATCTTAAATGAAAGTGGAAGCTTCAAGTGAAATGAAGTCAAATTTGCAAAACATTTCGGCTTACCATTATCATTAGATAAATAATATTCCAGGGGAAAGCTGTTGACACCTTTTGGATGAAGGCCCATATGAATTCGAGAGTGAAGTATATCGCACTATAGGACAGAGGAAATGAACAATATTTATGTTTAATTTTACCAGTTCTTATTTTACAGTTTAAGGTCAGCCTCAATCATTGGCGGTCTGATGAGGCGGTCAGTTTCAACCGAAATTCATGCACATATTTCCCATTTTGTTAATTTGATTGGAGGAGGAACACCAGCAATGGTTTGTGCTGAATGGGGCAATATCATCATTTTCAATTCGTCAGCCTGTATTCAGCTACCTACAGCTTAGACACCAAGTGAATTAACTCTATGAAGCGAGCAAATTTAACGTCCTTGTGAATGCGATATGATATCAGTTTACAAGAGAGACTCCAACATCAATGACCAGTGCTCAGAAATTACACTTGTATACACACTCACGCACAGACGGTTCAAATTTGAACAAAACAACTGACGTCCGGATACAGTGTGGAAAACGGTTGCATAATTTTTTATTATTTTTTTTATTTACAGCTTGATTCCACACCGTATTTTCAGTACAAGTATGGGACTTTCAGCATGGATATCGGTAGCCCAAATTCAGGCCGACCATAGATATCGGGTGTGCGCCGGCAGGTGATCGAACCCCGGACCATGTGCATGGTCGGCGAGAGTCCTAACCACTGTGCCACTGACGCAGTGAGGTGAATAATAGATTGAATGGCAATGGGGTGGGTTTAATAACTCAAATCATCAATACAAAAAGGACGGACAAAAATGAATCAAGCCAAAGAATACGTTATGGAAATAAATGAAAGAGTAAAGGTACTCAAATACCAGAGGAAGAAAAGTGTGACAACTCTACTGAACTGAATAAACCCACCACCACTTTGTTGTGTCTGTGCCTGCTAATTGTTATAACGGCAGTGAACTCGACTGACACGTTAATAAGTCCATTTGTCTGTTGTACCTTCCGATTCACTGAGCCACGCAACTGTCAAAACACGAAGGCTGGCCTGTGACTGTAAGATATTGTATTGCAAATTTATTCGGAAACAAAACATCATATTTATACATTATTTTGCCATAATAAAGTCCCTTGACAGCCGTGAGAATGGATTGTTCTTATTGACTGGATATATATATTCTGATTGGTTGGCGATCCGACAAAGACTAAGACGAGACAACGCATGATGAATTGATCACATACTAGATCACAGTATGTGTGAGAAAGGATAGATCTACGTAGTAACTCCATCACAAGATAAATCGCACGATTTGTGAGAAGGGATGATATACTATTTTATGCTGGGTCCTATCACAGAGGCAATCGAGAATATTCTCTGAACATTCATCAACACGTTTGCATCTCAAGGGAACATACGATTTCAATAGCTCAGCAGTTCTACTGTTGGGTGTCTCGTTGATACGTGTCATGAGGTAGACATCAAAAAATCCTTTAAATTTATCGATAGACAGCATAAGTGAATTCTCATGGAGTTTGTCGAATAAGTTGTTTGAAATCTGATCTATGTTTTCAGAAGAAGGCAGCAATCAGTGTGAACTGAGTGTGAGCTGAGTCGAATCGGGAACACTGTTGATGAGGTTGGCTTCGAAAAACGAGATAGCCTCTCGGTGTTTAGACCACATTGACGATCTGACTGGCAAACAGCACTAGCTCATATGTGAGTGGTATGCGACTACTCAGATGAGTCGGTCAATCAGTAGTATGTAATTTCATGCATTTATGCTTTCTCTGGTGGTCACCATTTATGAAATTGTGCATATCACACATTTTGTGCGTGATCTGAGTAATTTCGGTTTCAATTAATTACCAATGAAATTTCACCTCCTGGAAATGCTTAAATTGCAAATTAGTGTGCAAACTGCGAATTTGATTTATTCCATTTGTTACTTTCCGACTTTGGACCCAATGTGCAGGTATTCTGGTTTTCTACATTCGTTTGCGTTCTACATATGAATTGGCGTAAGTTACTGATTGTATCGGTCTATGTGAAGTAGGAAAAGTTTTCTTGTGATAATCACAGGGGAATCAGCTGGATTTATATGCTGTCTATTCGCAATAATTATGCGTAGACTGAGAGATGCTCGGGAAAATCACTCAGGTTTTAGACCAGGAATTTAAGGGTCTACTGATTATATCATCTTCACCGTTTGATAAATTCTGGAGCGTAGGAATACTCACTAACGTCCAACAATCATCATATTTCTTGACCTGAAAGCGACATTCGATTCTATTGACCAAGAGATACTATGGAGATATTTAGTTGTGACGATAATGGTGAGAAGGCACATCGCACTGATCAAGGTACAGTACTCAGACTCATGTTACCTGACGACCGTGACGACAACCATTGGTGGTGTACGTCAGGGATACTCACCTCTAGTATCTCCGTTTCTGTTTAGTTTCAACACAGATATACTAATGGACTTAACCTTGGCTGACTTCAGCGACTCAAGGATTGACTTGTTTTCAGGGAATAATCTCATTGACTCAGAATATGTGGATGAAATCCGTCTTTTAGGGGAAGACGCTGACGAAATAGAGTCTTCTGAATACCTTGTGCTGAGCAGCGATCTTCGAATGTTTTGCATGCGACTAGACTACATCGACTCTTAAATATATGGAGTGAAGTTGTGGTTGAGCGTGTTAACCACTTCACTTATTTGGGGAATCGCATCAACCAGTGTCAGCGGGTTGATCCTTGACGAAATGTCAGCACGGATACAGCGGTCTCGTTCGGCACAGGTCATCTTGCGCCCCCTATGGCTTAGTAGACGTGATATCTAGCTGAATATCGACCAGAGGGCATGTGTACTGCTCAGCAGTTCACTGTGTCTTCCTTTATGGCTGTCTGTGGGACATTACCATTTGAAGTGGAAGACATGAAAAGGCTAGCTAGCTGTGTTTGATCATAGGTGTCTGCGTTCTATCTCCCGTGTTAGGTGGTGTAAAAGGATGAGCAATAATATTGAGGTTAGCCATCGAATGCTAGGTAAGGAAGGGACATCAACGGACGAGGTTGTGAAGTCACACCAATTAAGATGGCTAGGAAATGTGTTACGCATGTCAGTGTAGCTATCACTTTCCTCGACGGGCAATGATAACTGAAAAAGGATGAGGTTGGAGAGGAGCTGATGATGGTCAAACCAAAACGTGGCTTCATCAATCAATGAAACTCATAGCAGTTAGTTGAAGCCAGCCACGAAGGGAGGTGTAGGCTGACTGGTTGGAGTCCAAGGGATGGTAGGAACCAGTGGCTGGAAACTATTGGTGATACGGCTCACAACTGTTGTCACTGGCGGAGATGCATTCACTTTTTGTGATTCGTCATAGCCAATAAAAATCTACTGCTCCCTCACATTACTACTGTTCTTTTACCCTCACTCACACATCCGTTTACCATCTCTCTTTTGAGCCTCTATTTACTTGCTTCTCTTGCTTTGTGTGCTACGTGGAGGGAGAGTGACAACTCGAACTGCTGCACACATGTGCGAAGTTCTATGTTGAAACCAGTCAATCAGACATGTGGAAAATATGGTTACGTACTTCAACCTGTGAAGTTTCATTTGTAATCGTACTGTTGTTCTTCGGTGTGGATTTATTGGTCTCGCTTTCACCCTACTTTCCCTATTTTCCAGTCTTCCTACCTACTAGCTAGTAGCCAAATGAGTAAAGTCTGTAGAAGCTCGTCGGTGACAGGGAATCCAACCAGACCTACCTTAGATAATCAGCAATCGTTTAACCATCAAATCACAGGTGTGTGATACAAAACCAAATACTAATAAAATAAAAGCCGAATTTTAACTTACGTAACCACGTAGAGAATTATGTTATTCAATAGCGTCCAAATGGAGACCTGTGGTCTTTATAATAAATTATTTATTAGGCAAATTAACACAATGTTTGTACAACTTACATTTGTGTAATTAAAGCTGTTAGACCTAATGCAATCGCCAGCTGGACAACCACTATTGCAAATACCTGATAGAAATTAAAACAACAAGGATGATGTTAGCTTTATTCTGGAGACTCATGTTCACAGATACTCAACATAGAATCCTCAGTGACGTTTCTCTTTCAAGACATTTCTCCACTGTACAGAGAATCTTCAAATAAACTACTAGTCGACAGAAACAAAGTCATTCTTTCATAATAGAACCAACACTCAGTCCTCTTCGACACTATTTATCCTTGATACTTTCTTCTTCACGTTCTGCCCAGAGTGCAGTAAGTTGCATGTCAGTTGATAATTTGTGTGGGTGGAGTGACTCTTCTGTTCAGCATATCTGTTTACCAAGTTGTCGGAGAGTAAATTCCAGAATTGCTTTATAGGGGAGAATGAGAGTTTGAGATGTGTTCTGTAATACCTGGTCGACTTCTTTCGTTCCACTCATTCGAATATTCAATGGTCATAAAAGCGCCTGTCAAATTATAGTACTCAGCCACGTTTGCCTCTCTCCAATCTTCTAAAGATAACGAAGGTCATCACAACGCTTGTGAATTTAATCCAGACATAGTGGAGCCAACATTATTGATTTTGCGTTTTGCCGATTTGATCTGTGTACGTTCCCCTAATTAATATGATTGTTCTTACTTTGTGCTGTTTTACATGATACTTGTATTTGCCCAATAAACATATCAATCCTTTCAACCTCACGTTTCCATTCGAACATCAATATACTCATACATCACTTGATATTGACGTGTGATTATAATGATAACATTTTTGACTGCATTTCACATCTACCATTCTTATTATTATTGTTATTATTATTCAAGCATTCACGTCTTTGTCAAAATTTCTTCATGGGATGATATATACTGTTAGAAATAATATGTATATATGCGCCATTTGTCAGCTTGATAATATCATTCATATATGGGTTCTATTCCTACTTGATGCACTCTCAGAGATCTCGCCTAACATTTTGTAAGTTCAGTCAGTTGGGAAGCCTCTATGTGTGTATGAAAAATGGAATCACAGCTACTGCAGCCTCAAAAAGACTAAATGTTGAATGAAGCCTTATGTTTATTAGCTGATAACACAAAGGAATGAATGAATGTTGGAGCAGCACAATGAAATTCGAAGCTTTTATCTGAGCTAATAGGGGTAAAGATGTGCGAGATGACGACTGGAAGACAACCTGTATCACACGCTCACCATATAATCACTGACAGATAGATGCATGACTGAAATATGACAAGTTTACAGTGATAGCAATGAAAGGAATGAGTGTGCTGCATGGAGCATGGATATCTAGTTCCACATATTGTGAGAAGAATGAGCGGCGAGTGATATCACCAAACAGAATATCATCGGTTGGGTATATGTGACTGTCACGAGTTCTACTTCTATCTGAAGGTGACATGTAGGAAGGAGATCGTGTGGGGAGTAGAACATCAGAGATTATTGACCATCGTGCTACCAGTTAGGTCAGACTACACAGTTCACAGTGGAACGTCAATGTTTCTCTCAGACACCGGTGAAATCATAATTATGGTGCTCAACAATAACCCTGATCACAATATATATATATATATATATATATATATATATATATAGAACTCACATTCAATATAAATAAAATCCGCGATGGCGTTATCTTCCTTTTCAAAATTCGTATTAGTTGGAAAGGATCATAATATGATGTTTGCTGTGAATCATCTTTATTGACGAAGGTTCCATGTTCCCAATATCTTCTCATTTATTTCGATTGACGAAATTGTTGAACAAACTGTTAGGGAATATAAATTGAGATTGACAGTCTACTTGATTGTGTGAACAAATGTTCACTGTGTATGCTTAGAAATGTGAGTCAGTGTTCTCTGGAATGATTTAAATAATTACAGACTTGTGTGTTTATAATGCGATTTATCTACTAGGTGCATATGCTGCCATGTGATTGGTTTTCGTTTAGATTTAGTGGTAATTGATGTGTTGTCTTTGATTTTATGTTAGTGTTGAACTATGATCAGCCGAATGCTCTATCCAACCCAGAGAACTTTGTTTCTCTCTAGTTTCTTGTCGATCGAAGGAAAGCCACCAATTAGAGCGTTGTATTGTGCACATTGGTTGGACATCAGACGACAGTATTCAACTGGCTGTGAAATCAGGCAGACATTGAAGTGTGTGGTGCTATGGAACATAGAGCTACAGCTGGTTCATAACTCCAATTCACTGTGTTCGCTGCCCTGCATTTTCAGCTCTAAGATTCGCTATAGATTCCTTCCCTCCTAGCCTCACGATGTTCTGCATGTCACTTCTGGAAATACGCTTAACCCGTCGCTACCAACGGCCTGACTGGAGTGTGGCGTCACGCAATGGTCTTCTCGGTGACTCTCCACTGGCTTTGTCTGCAACCTCTTCGCACATTTGTCGAGTTATAGTTGTTAGTTAGTTTGTTGTCTATCAGAGTTCCTTGTGGCTAATACCTTTCGGAATTCAGCAACGAGTTGGCGAAGTAGACTAGTATTGACATAAATGTGCAGTGTAACTCCATTATAGATAAGTATTGCTCATAATCAAATCATGTCACTCACTTGATATGACGATGAGGGTAATGCATTCAAAATCCGAATTCTGTTACTTATCCGGTCATACCATATGAGAAATAGCTTCACTTATTTACCTGCATACTGTGTGGTCAGATTTTTCGAAATTTGGTTAGAACGTGAATAGGGTTCGGTGTTGGAACCGCTGTCTGAAAATTTCTACACGACAGGTCTATAAAAGTGATGTGTTGCTACCTACAATAAGTTTTATCTGTGCCACAAATATTAGACATAAATCACGCAAGCAGTGCAGATCGTGAAGCATAATTTCGGCGCTTCAATGAGCATCTGTCTATTCACTCTGGACAGCCTGACGGACAATACACCACAGGAGGAAGGTCATCGGTGATAATAAGCAGCCTTGTCTTACTCCTGTCCACACTGCAGATGTATTGCTACCTACAATAAAAAGTTGTACATGTGCCACAGTTATTATTTACAGGTGATTGGATTGCGCCTTGTTATCAGTACTTACAATACAGGTGCAGTAGTGGTTCATTGAACACCAGGCAAACTTCATTTAGTAGAGCTGGTATTGTTTAG